CAAAGAAAATATTAAAAAAGCATAAGGCAGGGTTACATTTTAGACATTTTTAAACTCAGAGGACGAAAATAAATGTATAATTCTTCAACACACACACACACACACACAGTAACAAGTCAAGACCACAGGCTTTCACTGCAGTGCCATACTGCAACATCACAGATTATCAGCCGTAGTTTGATCGTTTTATGTGTCACCTCCTCTGGCTGTTGACTTTGTGCATGCTAATGAACGCTAAATGGAGTCTGCTACTGACCACAGTGGTCAGGAAGAAGATTGGAGGGACAGGAGGTCAATAAAACATCATTGCTCTGAGGGAGAATAGGAGAGAGAGGTGAGACATTTTGAGACTGATTGGAGACCTGCTAAAACTAGTTGATCAGTTCAAATTCAAGATCTGGAATCAAGAGATTGAGATTAATTTTACTGTCAGTCAGACCATAAACAAGACAAGTGCACAGTAGAACGAAATAACATAGCTCAAATCTAAAGTAAAAAATAGTAATAATAAATAAAAGATGAAAAAGATAAACATGGTACAAACAGACATTGGGATATTACTCAGAACTGAATGAAATGACACATATTGAATAATAGATAAATGAAATGAGGACATGAGGATTACTGTATATATTGGAGTACTAAAAAATAACTTTCTACATTATCTCAACATTTTAATCTTTGCTTTTTAATTTTATACCCATTCAAATTATGTGTAATCTATTAATATTAACCTTTGCATGATCTTGAACATTTCTTGGTGGCTATTCAACATGTGTAAAAAAAAAAGGGACTTGAACATACCGTAGAGTGTAGATATGGTAAAGATGGACGACATGATGGCTCCCTAAAAGTGGAGCAGAAGCATTTCAATGCCATCTGGTGGCTGGCTGCAGTACATGTCATAAACCCTGCCTACTCCCCATGTATGTGGATGGGACATGGAAAATGATTGATGCTTGCGTGTTTATTTGTCCACAGGGTGCTTCCACGTGTTTGGCTTGGCAGCTGCCCTCGACAGGTGGAGCATGTGACGATTAAGATGAAGCATGACTTGGGCATCACTGCGGTGATGAACTTCCAGACTGAGGGCGACGTGGTGAACAACTCCTACGGCTGCAGACGCAACCCTGGGGAAGCAATGACTCCGGAGACCATGATGCATTTGTATAAAGACTGTGGCATGGTGTACTTGTGGATGCCCACGCCGGACATGAGCACGGAGGGTAAGTAAAAAGAGTTCTTTCCATGGGATATATTAAGATAATATTAACAGCCTTCTCCTTTACACGTATTGTATATTACTCTCTTCTTGGGCAGGTCGTATCAGGATGCTTCCCCAGGCGGTATTCCTGCTTCATGGTCTCTTGGAGAATGGCCACACCGTCTATGTCCACTGTAACGCTGGAGTGGGCCGGTCGACGGCTGCCGTATGTGGCCTGCTCATGTACGTCCTCGGCTGGAGCCTGAGGAAGGTGCAGTACTTTGTCGCACTCAGGAGACCGGTCGTCTACATCGATGAGGAGGCTTTGGTCCAGGCTCATGCAGACTTCATCCAGAAGTTTGGACAACTGAGACCATCCATCTCTGACCTCGAGCCATGAGAGTTTAGAGCACTGAAGTTTTCCAACTTGAAGAAGACTGGAACTAGAACATTTACCCACATATACACATGTCTACAGTTTGTGAAAACCTTTACTGTTAGCCGTTTTAGTAATGATCAATGAAGAGCGGTGACATTTTGTAAAGGCGACTTTTAGTTTAAGTGTTAAACAGCAATGATGTAGAGGAACACACTGCAAAACAAACCAAATATCAATACACTAAAACAAAACCAGCATTGTGAAGCATTAGATTCCCAGAAATATAAACTCTCCCTTTCCACAGTTATTCTCCACATTTCGCAATTCTGTATCAACCATCATTTTTACCTAATCAGGAAATTATTTTGGAGAGAAGTCTTGATGCTGCCTGAAAATGGCAGCCCCTGCCAAAGCAACAAATCAATTCTTGAATGACAATGCCTCTCCATATCTGTCAAACAGGTATTCTGTTCCCAGACATCGAAGAACACAGCTCCGCCCCGTCTTTCCCGGAGAGCCTGATCGCATTTCATCTTTATTTATTTATCCGACAGATGCTCTTCCGACCCTTCTCCTAAATAACAAAGAACAACAGCCTTGCCAGTCCAATTTAATGCATACATAATAAAGCATTATCGGAATACTGTTCTTCTGCCTTGACTCATAATGAGGATATATTGCTTTTCTTTTTTATTATGCAGTGTTTTTGTTACCTGTCCCTGATTTAAGAAAGTTTGTGGATTAGAGAGGAGCGAAGATTCTTCTCCTCAAGCATGTCTTACAGACCCTCATTACTTTTCAGTGAGTACCTGCAGAAGACAGCAACTTAAAAGGGTGTCAGTGGGGACGGGTGGGTGGATTGAGCCATGCAAAAAAGCAGCGTTGTGGATTTCCAGATGCTCTAAAAATATGCATAAAACCTGGATGTGAAATGAGTGACATTCTTTTCCTTTTTGAAGAAGAAGCAGAATGTGTAGAGGTTTGAAAACAAATGCGTCTATACCTTACTATATGTGTGTGGCTGCTGGTGTTTGTCGCTGAATGTAATTGGAAAACATGTTGCATTCATTCCGCTGGGTTGTTGTCAGTGACTGATGTTATAAAGAATTTGTAGTCCACATGATCTCCAGGATCTGTCAATCACCTCTGTCTGCTCCCTTGCATTTAAATTGGAGAAGGTATTAGAAAGCATTTGCAACTATCACAGAGTCAGATTTATATGGTGCAGCGTTCCACAATTATACACTTCCATCTCTACCATGATGTGCCATGAGAGTACCACACGTACTTGTGTTGTTTCCCAAATGTTTTGTCTTCAAAAGTCCCTGCAGGCCTCGGACTAGTATTTATTTTCTTATATTTATATGCATTCATTTTGCAGATTTAAAGCGTCACAGAGCCATTCTTTAAAATTGTGTCTGTAGTTTTCTTTTTCTCTATGACTGAAAAAATCTATTGTGGAATAAAATAATCAGAGGGGCGATGATATATTTTGAATCATTCTGACTATCAGGATATATTTCCTACGTAATTCATTCATACAAAGTTCAACAAATACCTCTGCACGTATGGAGCTGATTGACCAACATGCAATGAGAAGAACTATGCACATTGGTCAACAGAATGCAGATCTAAATTTAACTTCACACGGTGAAATGTTTAAATCCTTTTTTAATTTAAAGTGATCAAATAAAATATTAGGGAGCCTCACAGAAGTTAGATGAAAACAATAACAACTGATTTCAGCCATTAGGAATCTTGAATTTTTGCTCGGCAGTTACTGCCACAGGTTGGTAGAGGGGTTTCATATCAAAACTAAATGTAGTGTACGTGTGTATTTTAACAGGCACAAATTAGGGCTAATTTGTCTATGCTGTTATCTGTCTTCAGTGCAACTTTAATGGTCACTCAGTTTGACATTTCCAAAATGCTTCACCCTCCCCATGGTTACCTCACTATTCAAAACAAACTAATCTTAATTAAAGCACAAACATGCACAGTCAAACCCAGATAGCAAAAGCAATGTCCTTATAAAAGGAAAAAAATAAGCAGAGTGCTGCGTCCCTGTAATGTTTGTATGTGAACAATGATTTGCACAAATAGAAAAAGCTTATCGTCGTATACATTATTCAACTACGTGTAGCTGAAACCTTAGTCAGAATCAAATTCCCTTCAAATTCAATACAGTGGAATACAGGTACACCTAAAGTGAACAGCACAAGTCAAACTGTGTACATTCAATCACTCTGTATTGCCTCATTTCATCCAACCAAAGCGGTTATCAAAAACAAGACTCATTAAAAGCCTCATTAAATGTTCTCTCTTATTTTGCATATCTACGAGATGGATGAGCAGAGCATTTTGAAGTCAATATGACTCAAAGAAGACATGATTTGTTTGCTGTCTGTATAACGAATCATGGTCAGTCAGTCTATTTAAGCTTGAAGCGCGAGTTGTATTTTGAGCCTTTTGTTTTCAAAATGCTTTCAACATGAACTTTACCCCTTTTCAAACACTAAATATTCATCTTCCCTGCAGTTCTATTAGCTTGACCAGTCTGCACTATAGCCATTCATTCATCATAGAGAGAGAAGTAAAGCATTTTATATAGAAAGAGCCTCAAATGATTTATATGCATCAGCTCAGTCAGGACACCATCGGCCAATTCACTTAATAGATTCCAGGTTCAGTCAAATCATTTGCATTGTCTGGGTTCTCTATATGTACTTAAAAAAAATCCAACAATGAAGACACTGCACTTGACATTGCTCCCAGGCAAAACACCCAGTCAGATAAATTACTGACTATAGCTCCAGATTTACGGACGTATTCCTCCACGTATGTTTCAGCAGCTTGCACCAGCCGCCTATCGTTGAAGGTCAAGAACATCTGACTATGAGGCATTCGGTGCAAAATGAACAGGCATCAGTGATGTCAGGCAGTTGGAAATATAGTTAAAAAATGTGGGAGGCTGCAGGGTAACATTGTTGAATAATAGATAAATCTGAAATTGCAATATATGGACTCACTGCATGAGACGGTGCCTTTCCAAAATATGGCATGTATTCGTCGAGATAAAGAACCATGCACAATTTGATGGACGTGAATTCTGTACCGACTCTGACAGCAGTTAAGTCTGGAGAATGGTCAGCATTTTCCAAAATGCTGGACTTGTTGGCACACGCTGACAGTTCTTTGCATTTCACCTCCACAGTAACAGGAAAGGAAAATTATATCTAGATGGAAGGCCCATTTTTAATGCAACAAAGATACAGCGAAGTTCCCTGGAATTGGCGAGCAATTTAGTTTAATTTAATCAAAGTGGTCCAGGCTGAGCTAATAGCTATAGCAATGCTTTCACGTGAAATAGTGTAAACTATAGGCATTTTGTTGTCGTGTTAAGTTTGAGGAAGCTATAGGAAAATGTAATGTTAACTAAGCACCTGCAGTGGTGTTTATGTTGCCTGGAAGCAGAGCAAATATTGACATTGCTCAGGCACTGAAATCTGCTTTGTGGTTCAATCCATTAGAAACCATGCATGTAGGTACCCAACCTTGCTTATGACATACCTTAATCAAATGTCTTGCAGTTTTCCATCCCAACTTTCAAGCATTCTGCAGTTGCTCTAGCTGGAAAGTTGATTTATATAGGTTGGAAAGTGGTAAGTGAAGGATGGAGCCATCAAAACATCCACCAGAGCCAATTGGAGGGATTATCCAAGCAGCAAACATCTGCTGAACTGAACTTTAATGCATTATTTGCAGCCTGAGTCATTCCACAAGGAGCTGGTGGCAGTGCCCAACTGATATTCAATAATATCCGGCCTTTGTCTCCGGTGAACCATAACAATGTCTGGGCTGATATATGCAGACTCGACATTTCTCAAGCAGACTGTATGAATGCAATCTGAAAATCATTTATTGCTGCAACACATAAACCATGCACCCAATTAATTTCCAAATCAGTTGGTGAGCTTCTGCCTGTACTTTTCTTTGCCTGTACCCTGAGTGCACTTTTGGTTTTATTAAGAACTGGGATTTTTTTTAAAGATAAAAAACTGCAAATCTCGGTTTTGAAAAGCAGGGAATTCTGGTTATTACAAACCAATTTATATATGTCATAACCTTTACATTAGGACATATTGAGGACTTTTTTTTTTAAAGTGACCCAGTGAACATACTGTATGTGCAGGTTTTTGTTTAATATTACAAGTCAAACATTATACTGAAGTTTGTCTTTTTTATTATTGTTTCATTGATCTTAATGATTTGAAAATTGGCCTCTGATGATATAATATTTGAATAAAATACCATGATGATATTTCAGTGGCAACATAATGAATAAATAAACCAGTTCATTAACTTTTTCTATTTAAGCAGAAATACTCCTGACCAGTTACCCCTAAATTGAAATGTGGAACCAAAACTAACCTGATAAAATGTAAACTATTAAACATATTTGATTTTCAGTCTAAATGATATAAATGATGGACTATAGATCATATTGCTCCTAAATCTGCTAAATAATTAATTGGTCCATTTTGAAATCAGTTCACGTGATTAGTCTTTGAGATTTCTCTTAAAGTAATCAATGTCAAAAATGTTCTCAATGGATCAAATGAATTGTTTTATTTAAAATTCCTGTTTCAGTGATTGGAGGGTTGCTTATCTAGAAGTGTGGGAGTTTTGATGCATCTTTATCAAGCATTGTCTGATGTTATTTAAGTTAATGACACCAGGCTGCAATAATTTCAAGACATGAGATAATTGCTGCTGGTTGTGATGATTGCCTCAATTGACGATTCTCGAGCACTGCAGTCAGTACTGTTCATCACGAGAAAAAGGTAGAGTGGTATGGCTGAGGGGGTGAAAATGAGAAATGGATGAAGAAAGTCATTTGCTTTGACAAGACCACACCAGAGCCTGTCACCCTGCGACTGTACTGACCGGCTTCCTGTGAAATCCATCTCTTGCTGTCAATACCTCTGTTGTTCCCTCCATCTTCTACATCGCCGCTGCCATTGATCCGTGTCAGTGGGACAGATTCTGATATGAACCAGCGGAGGGGGGATGCAGGACATGTCACTGGGTAAAGCAAGCTTTATCTATACTCTGTCATGACATTTTACTGTAATATATGAAATTCTGCAGGTCTATATGGTCAGAATGTCATTTATCATGTTCGGCGCAGACTGACAACCCCTCAGAGGTAGACGCTGGGGTCAATGACCTTGGACTTGGAAAATACAGATATATCCCAAATCAATAAATTCCATCTGCTACCTGGAGCTCTGTTCTGGGTCTATGCACACAGTCCTGACTGGACTCTGTATTTCACTCTCCCTCTTCATCTCATTCCTCACATAAGAAAGTGGTTCACACAAAGGACAGAGGAAGCATTTGAGGAACTTATTTAAGATCTGTCACTATGATCATAACCACATTGATTTAATCTGTGTTTTTCACCTTAATAGGCTTTGGTGGGTAACTAACATAGATTGTATATAAAGATGGAAGATATGACAGCTCGCAAAAAGGGGGAAGCTAAAACATTTCAATCGCCCCCTAGAGGCTGGCTGCAGTACAGCTAATGGACATTAATTTGTCTCTAAAGTATTTTTGCGTGCAGGACAAACGGTCTTTAGCATTTAAGCGATAAATAAGTGATATTATCGGTTGTCAAATTGAGCAGCTTTTAATTTGTTAAATCAACATCATACCTGAATAGTTTTTTTGTCTTACAATTAAGCTAAAAGGGTTTTCATTGGAATGTAAATCAAAATCTGGACCCCTGAAACTAGATTTGGCAAAATGAGTTATACTGAAAGCTCTTTGTGTGCGAGGAGGAAAGATGCTGCACTTTTACTTTCAATGCTGCATTACAGATTTACTACATAATAAATCAGAGTGTCAGATGACCTAAAATAGTATCATTAAATCTTTATTGATGGTAAAATTCAAAACAGTTTCTCTCTGATCCTGAAGGTGGATAACCACGTTTGACAATTTGACAAAACAATCACTCAGACGTCTGGGCTCCTCCAATCTTATCAGATTTTTCTTTTCTTATTTTCAGTTAAATTTTGTAAATTGTCTCCTGATCCCCTAATACATCATATGCAT